CTCAAAGGTTGTTTTCATCCATAAACTGCCGATAATATCTGAGTGTCTGTGTTTCAGTTCAATGAGGAAACAAGTTTGAAGGATTAAAAGTTTTAATTCTTCAAGTTAAACTAATGATTTTGAAAATTGACAAACAGGAAATAACAATCACATTGGCAACTTTGTGGGACAATCTTTTAACAGTTTATATGCTGTTCTTGCTCAAATAGACCTTCTGTTGAATTTATGAAGATTGAGAATGTTGTGACATGAATGCGTGTGTGAGTCTGATTTTGCTTCAGGAAGAAACAGGTGTCTGAGTGAAGTGATGGTTTGGATAAACTTAGGTCTTATCAGAGAACTGCATCAAACGCTAAACACCGTGCTCTGTCTCACCGAACTCTTGTGGACCCTCTTTCGGATCCGGGCCGTGGAGGATGTTGTGGTTCATCCAGATGACACCGGCGGCTGACAGGAGACGTAGGCGTCGAACGGAACCGGTCCAGAGTTGCCCTCGGTACACGTGGATGGTAGAGCGTTTTATCGATGCGCTTTCTTAAGTTAATTCACTCAGAAATCAAAAGACTCGGTAATGAGTCTTCGTTAGAAGTCGCGATTCAGCTATTCTGCCTGGCTTGGCAGAAACAGCGTGAAAGGGGGGAAGAACGAGCCAACAGGCTCTGCCCCCCCTTTCGGTTTTCAGGTCTGTTCTCTCCCGTTGTCCAACACGAACTGCCTCAAAAGACTGAAACTTACCAAAAACCTGCCTTCTCAAAGCAAAAACATGTGCGTCATCAAATGTGTCTGGATTTTACTGTGGGAAGGTGTGTGTGGGTGTGTGTGAATGTTTGTGTGCTTGAGTGTGAAGGTCAGTACCAAACATTCAACATTATCTACTTAAGTGTGGATTCATTAATCCATTATAATTACCCCAAAGCATAAGAACCATTCATTTGATTAAATACATTTATAATGAGCAAAATGATAATGGTTATTTTTAACATTAAAATCAAGAAAAAGAAGTTTAAACTTTATGTTTTGACTTGGTCTGGGTACAACTCATGTAAACACATCTTCTGGTAGACTGCAGGTGGTTGATGTTATGGTTTCCTCCCAGACTCGCTGGCGTTCAGGACTTAATCTGTGGGCGAAAGTTCTCAATGACCCAGCTTTGACACAGCTGCGTCCAGCACCACCTTTGTGATAGAAAACCCATATTTCCTCACGTTACAACGCGCTTGTTTATGTAAGGTTTCTCTATAGGAGCGTCCAATAGAGAGTGTGAGGGACCACACCTGTCCCCCAAAGATGCGTAGGAGATGGGGGGAGCTCCAAGTCCCAGAGACCCAGGCGCTGCCCCAGAACACAGGAACCCCAAGGGAGACTGCAACCAGAAAGCCCCCGCCCCCCTCTAGAGGCACAGAGGATTGCCTCGGGGGGCCACAACCAGCAGCCGGTAGAGTCCCGGGAGATATCAGCGGCAAGCCCACAGGCCCGCCCACAGCCTCTCACCCCCTAGCCAGCCGAGCCCGGGACCCAGCGACCCGGGACCCAGGGGCGACCACCCCCGCCGGGGACCCAGGAGAGCCCAGGGACCCAGACCCTACCAGGTAGCCACCGGGATTGTGTGTGTGTGTTTGCGTGGAATGTCGTTGGTGGAAGTGTTTAAGGTGCAAATAAAATTGGGGGGCAGGTTGCCACAGGAATGCGGAAATGGGGTCCATACCCGCACTCCCTGACTTGTCCACCCCCCAAGGTCCTATGTGTATGTTTGTGTGAAGATGTGAGGGAGCAGAAGGAGAGAATCATGCGGGGATGGGGAGGAATGTCTGGTTGGGCTTAGCCCTCCAGGGAGCCAGCTCCCCTACTGGCCCCAATAGGCACCTCTGTTGTCAAAATGCCACCCAGGGCATGGAGACCCCAGCCCATCCTGCCAGGGCCCAAAGCAGCAGCATTACAGAGCCTCACGGAGTCCGAGGGCACCAACCCAGCCCCACCCCAGCAGAAAATCGACTCCCATCCCTGCATTTGCACAACTTCTGGATTACATAAGACATAGGACATCCAGGTAAGGTTGGGTTCTACCCTCCTGGACCTCCCCCTCCCCTGTGGTGGGACAGCAGAGGAGCCAAGGTCTACCTGAGGCCCCTGAACCCGGGCCAAGCACGGCTGCATGTTCCTGCCTTCTTCCCGGCAGCAAACATGTCAGGACCCGAATGGCATTTTTACCTAAGTTCCTGCCTGGATAGATCACCGACAGAAACTGAGATCTTGGATCAAAAAGGTAAATTATGTCTGAAATTTCTTAATCCCACATCATCATCGTGTGTGTGTGTGTGTGTGTGTGTGTGTGTGTGTGTATGTGTGTGTGTGTGTGTGTGTGTGTGTGTGTGTGTGTGTGTGTGTGTGTGTGTGTGTGTGTGTATGTGTGTGTGTGTGTGTGTGTGTGTGTGTGTGAGTGTGTGTGTGTGTGTGTGTGTGTGTGTGTGTGTGTGTGTGTGTGTGAGACGGAGATCCGCAGGTCCTTAATGTGTGTTCTTCTTTTATTAGGGAGCGTTTTAGTTTATCTTGAATCTTAGTGGGATTATTCCTGTATAACAAAGGTTAAAAGGTTAAAAATGAAACAAAGGAACAGAATTATATTATAAATTACATATTTCCTTTTAGTCTTTTCATGTTTTGTTTCATGGGTTTTTGTTTTGTTCCAAATTTAAAAGTGAATCATTTTCATATCTTGAATTTTTGTTTCTTCAGACTCATTAGTGAAGATGATGTGAGGTCCAACGACTTTCTGTCCAGTACTCCATCTCACACCAGACCTGCCAACAGGGACGGGGACACCAACACGTCCACCAGGTTCTGTCTGAAACGCAATGATGGACCACAGCTGGACTGGCCAGTCAGGATGAGCGATACTTCCGATGGGTCAACAGGAAGCCACGATGTTCCTCCAGAGCACGTTCGGACCATCCAGCGCCGGTGACCTCTGAGGGGCCCATGGAGCGGGTAGCAGGCTGGCTGGGAGAGCTCTCTGATGGAGTCAACGTAGTCTTCCATGGTGTGGGAGGAGCAGTTCAGATCTCCATCCTCGCTGTCGCTCTCCTGCATTTCACTGATGGTGGGAAGTCTGTCCACGATGGAGAGGAGACATCTGGGTTTCATTCTGCAAGAAGAACAGCAATGGCCTTCAGGTGTTTCCAAGTTAAACCTGTTTGTGTTGGTCTGAGTCACAAGGAAACAAATATAAACCCTTTCATACATAAACAGCCTTAGACAGGAAACCCTCTGATGACGCTGGAAGTTATTTGTTACATCTAAACAGTAAAATAAAGATTAAAACACAAACATCATCATTATTTCACGCTTTGGTCATGAATAAATAAAAAAACCAGAAAGAACAAACAGTTCAAAAAGGAAAGGTGCAGGGGCGGCGTTAGGCCCGGCTACTTGGGCAGAAGCCCCGGATCTAAATCGCGGAAGTAACATGCAGTACCAAAGTCCAACAGAGAGGGCGCTGCTGGCAGTAGTTTGTATACAGCCTGCCTGAGCCTCCACCACCGAAGAAGAAGCCCTTCAGCAGCCGGCTTCTTCTACACTCTCTGCCTGAAACGCATGAGTGAAGATGGACATAAGGACGTTTTTTAGACCAAAAGTACGGCGACAGAAGCCCAGCTTTGATGAGACTGGTGCTGACTCAGGTTTGTGAGTCTTATTAGAAAATATTTGTTGTGCTGCTGGTTTGCCTAAAGTTAGCTTACTATCAGGTAAAGTTGTTGGAGAAAGAGCGGGAATATTTACTATCATCTCACACTAAACACTAACAGGAACAATACTCTGCCCTGAATATGCTGAATATGTAGCTTCAGGTTAAAAATTATGTGGTACAAGACAAATATATATGATGTTGACTAGTGCGTGTCACGTGTGTGCGCGCGCGCGTGTGTGTGCGTGTGCGCACACACACGTGTGTGCGTGCGTGTGTGTGTGTGTGTTAAGCCCCGGATCTTCTTCAGTCCTAAATCCGCCCCTGGAAAGGTGCAGTGAGCCTTGCGGTTTGGAAAGTAGTCGCAAACATCTGATTTTGTGTTTAAACGAGTTCAATGTTCACATGCAAATTTATAGAAGAAATAAAGGGAACAGTTAAAGGAATTAAAGGTTTTTTTACTCTGTTGTCTATTATTATATTATTTATTTTAGGTGTTTCGTAACTCCAGCCAACCTCTACTCTGCAGACTCACCAAAACGCTGTTTTATTTTGTCTGTTTAGCGTTTTTCCAAATAAAACCCACTAAATGAATTCCACATCTAACAGTTTGTGCTCAGAAATTGGTGCCAGATTGTGAAACTTTCTCCCAGAAACTTCCAAGATCTTTTCTCCTAAATCACCAATGTTCCAAAGGACTAATTGCAGTTCAGAAACTCGTACCAACAGAGAACAGCGCTGCAACAAGCTGAGCTGAAGAAAATTAAATCACTAAACTCTCCCCGGCTGGGGAGGACGAAAAGCACAATAAATGAAATAGAGTACACCCACCTGAGCAGAATCCCAGCGCCCTGCTTCACTCCCGGCTCATCCGGAACACGCTGCAGTGACAGGGAGGCGTGATGCTGTAAGCGCTGTCAGAGGGTAAGCCGGGTCCAGGAGCTTTTATAATTCATTAGCCCGCTAGGCTAAAGGAGCTAATTATAGCTGTCTGAACTCACAGGGATCCTTAGGTGGATCTGGGTTATGCAGCATACAGGAGGAAAACACAAAGGTGAAAGGTCACGCTGGTGACCAGGACACGGTTTATCCACAGAGTAAATGTGGCTGAGCATCAGTAAGTCTGAGGTCTGATGGTCTCAGGGTGTCACGAGGAAGAGGAGGAGATGACTCAACTGTTGTGTTTTTATTTTTATTGTTACTCTACATGTTGGAAATATTATATTAAATGCTGTTTCTAGTGAATTATTAAACTTTAATAAACAAAAGGTCCTTTTACTAACGTTCCCACTATTGTTAACTATTAAGGTTAATACACAAAAAGCCCCCGGGTCGCACTTTGGACACGCCCTGATCTGTGGAGTGGGTCATAACTGAGCTGAGCTGGAAGATTTTATGGGTGTTTATGATAAATCTATTATTTTTATGTAGTTTTTTGACTTTAACATCTTTATGAAGGAGGATCTCTGACCTGAAACAGGAAGATGTATTTTGTCACATTTTATTTGTTTAAACTTTGTTCCCTGAAAGGAGAAAGTTTTGAGATCTGTTAAATAATCACAGAACAGTCTAATTTCTGAGTCATGCTGGAAAGAAAAAGTTGTTAAAGGACTGAATCCAGTAAACTGGAGCGACCCAGCAGTTATTTCTCGTACCCAGAAGAAGTCACGGGATCTTTTTGCTTTACTCTAATATCGGGTGAACAGGCTGGAGGCTAACGTTGAGCTAACGTGAATTAAAAGCAAATAGTTGGCTCTAAACATATGTCAAGCTACTTTTTCTGTTAGCAGCAATGATTTTATGGTGGAATGTGTGAATAATGAGTCTGTGATGGTGTTTTACTTCCTTGTCATCTAGAATCTTCTGGCACTGACCCATAACTGACAACAACCGTGAAACCAACACATTCTCACACCCGAAGTGTTGAAAAATGGCGCTGGGTGACCAGGCTTTTGTTTCCGACGCGTTGGGTGTCCCAACGCACTGACGCGCTGTGCCAGAGCGTCGTTTTCCGACCGCCGCAGTAAAACTGAGATTTCACCTAATTCTGACCTTTACCCTCTTGTGAATGTAAAAGTGTGTTTCTAGTTGTAACGTTCCTCTCCAACACGGTCAGCGGGAAGTTTAGAATGAGTGTTGCATCTCCTGCAATGAGAGAAACCATGCACCCATCAGCTGTGCCAGTGCGACCAGCTGATAGGCTGCTTCGGATGTCCATGCCCCTCTGTCACCACTGGTCTGGCTTTGTGGAGCCTGTCATTGGTCATGAGTGGCTACACCTGTGGGCGCAGCATAAAAGGCTGTTTGGTGCAACTCCAAAGAAGATGAGTGATCGGCAAGATCTTCTTGATAACTCCTGCCTGTGTGGCGGTTGGTGAGGCCTTTTGGAGGCGGATTTTAAAGTGCTAAATACTCTAACCTCCCACATACTCTAACCTACCACATACTCTAACCTCCCACATACTCTAACCTACCACATACTCTTACCTCCCACATACTCTAACCTCCCACATACTCTAACCTCCCACATACTCTAACCTCCCACATACTCTAACCTCCCACATACTCTAACCTCCCACATACTCTAACCTACCACATACTCTTCCCTCCCACATACTCTAACCTACCACATACTCTTCCCTCCCACATACTCTAACCTACCACATACTCTTCCCTCCCACATACTCTAACCTACCACATACTCTTACCTCCCACATACTCTAACCTCCCACATACTCTAACCTACCACATACTCTTCCCTCCCACATACTCTAACCTACCACATACTCTTCCCTCCCACATACTCTAACCTACCACATACTCTTACCTCCCACATACTCTAACCTCCCACATACTCTAACCTCCCACATACTCTAACCTCCCACATACTCTAACCTACCACATACTCTAACCTCCCACATACTCTAACCTACCACATACTCTAACCTCCCACATACTCTAACCTACCACATACTCTTACCTCCCACATACTCTAACCTCCCACATACTCTAACCTCCCACATACTCTTACCTCCCACATACTCTAACCTCCCACATACTCTAACCTACCACATACTCTTACCTCCCACATACTCTAACCTCCCACATACTCTTACCTCCCACATACTCTAACCTCCCACATACTCTTACCTCCCACATACTCTTACCTCCCACATACTCTTCCCTCCCACATACTCTTCCCTCCCACATACTCTTCCCTCCCACATACTCTTCCCTCCCACATACTCTAACCTACCACATACTCTTACCTCCCACATACTCTTACCTCCCACATACTCTAACCTACCACATACTCTTACCTCCCACATACTCTTACCTCCCACATACTCTTCCCTCCCACATACTCTAACCTACCACATACTCTTACCTCCCACATACTCTTACCTCCCACATACTCTTCCCTCCCACATACTCTTACCTCCCACATACTCTTACCTCCCGCATACTCTAACCTACCACATACTCTTACCTCCCACATACTCTAACCTCCCACATACTCTTACCTCCCACATACTCTAACCTCCCACATACTCTTACCTCCCTCATACTCTAACCTACCACATACTCTTACCTCCCACATACTCTAACCTCCCACATACTCTTACCTCCCACATACTCTTACCTCCCACATACTCTTCCCTCCCACATACTCTTCCCTCCCACATACTCGTCCCTCCCACATACTCTTACCTCCCACATACTCTAACCTACCACATACTCTTACCTCCCACATACTCTAACCTACCACATACTCTTACCTCCCACATACTCTAACCTACCACATACTCTAACCTCCCACATACTCTAACCTCCCACATACTCTTACCTCCCACATACTCTTACCTCCCACATACTCTTACCTCCCACATACTCTAACCTCCCACATACTCTTACCTCCCACATACTCTTCCCTCCCACATACTCTAACCTCCCACATACTCTTACCTCCCACATACTCTTACCTCCCACATACTCTTCCCTCCCACATACTCTAACCTCCCACATACTCTTACCTCCCACATACTCTAACCTCCCACATACTCTAACCTACCACATACTCTTACCTCCCACATACTCTAACCTCCCACATACTCTTACCTCCCACATACTCTTACCTCCCACATACTCTTCCCTCCCACATACTCTTCCCTCCCACATACTCGTCCCTCCCACATACTCTTACCTCCCACATACTCTAACCTACCACATACTCTTACCTCCCACATACTCTAACCTACCACATACTCTTACCTCCCACATACTCTAACCTACCACATACTCTAACCTCCCACATACTCTAACCTCCCACATACTCTTACCTCCCACATACTCTTACCTCCCACATACTCTTCCCTCCCACATACTCTAACCTCCCACATACTCTTACCTCCCACATACTCTTCCCTCCCACATACTCTAACCTCCCACATACTCTTACCTCCCACATACTCTTACCTCCCACATACTCTTCCCTCCCACATACTCTAACCTCCCACATACTCTTACCTCCCACATACTCTAACCTCCCACATACTCTAACCTACCACATACTCTTACCTCCCACATACTCTAACCTCCCACATACTCTTACCTCCCACATACTCTTCCCTCCCACATACTCTTCCCTCCCACATACTCTTCCCTCCCACATACTCGTCCCTCCCACATACTCTTACCTCCCACATACTCTAACCTACCACATACTCTTACCTCCCACATACTCTTCCCTCCCACATACTCTAACCTCCCACATACTCTTCCCTCCCACATACTCTTCCCTCCCACATACTCTTACCTCCCACATACTCTTCCCTCCCACATACTCTTACCTCCCACATACTCTTCCCTCCCACATACTCTTACCTCCCACATACTCTTCCCTCCCACATACTCTTCCCTCCCACATACTCTAACCTCCCACATACTCTTCCCTCCCACATACTCTTCCCTCCCACATACTTGTCCCTCCCACATACTCTTAACTCCCACAAACTCTTCCCTCCCACATACTCTTCCCTCCCACATACTCTTCCCTCCCACATACTCTTCCCTCCCACATACTCTTCCCTCCCACATACTCTTCCCTCCCACATACTCTTCCCTCCCACATACTCTTACCTCCCACATACTCGTCCCTCCCACATACTCTTACCTCCCACATACTCTTACCTCCCACATACTCTTCCCTCCCACATACTCGTCCCTCCCACATACTCTTCCCTCCCACATACTCTAACCTACCACATACTCTTCCCTCCCACATACTCTTCCCTCCCACATACTCTAACCTCCCACATACTCTAACCTCCCACATACTCTTCCCTCCCACATACTCTTCCCTCCCACATACTTGTCCCTCCCACATACTCTTCCCTCCCACATACTCTTCCCTCCCACATACTCTAACCTCCCACATACTCTTCCCTCCCACATACTCTTACCTCCCACATACTCTTCCCTCCCACATACTCTTCCCTCCCACATACTCTTCCCTCCCACATACTCTTACCTCCCACATACTCTTCCCTCCACATACTCTTCCCTCCCACATACTCTTCCCTCCCACATACTCTTACCTCCCACATACTCTTCCCTCCACATACTCTTCCCTCCCACATACTCTTCCCTCCCACATACTCTTACCTCCACATACTCTAACCTCCCACATACTCTTCCCTCCCTCATACTCTTCCCTCCCACATACTCTTCCCTCCCACATACCCTAACCTCCCACATACTCTTCCCTCCCACATACTCTAACCTCCCACATACTCTAACCTCCCACATACTCTTCCCTCCCACATACTCTAACCTCCCACATACCCTAACCTCCCACATACTCTTCCCTCCCACATACTCTTACCTCCCACATACCCTAACCTCCCACATTGCGTCCAAACCTCCTCCTTGAGTTGCAAGCCCACGAGCTGGGCCGTAACAATGAGAAACTGGGTCAAGGT